GGTAACAGAAACTAGTGTTTGATGATCCTAGTTCTTTAGTGGCAGCAACTGAAATTTAAGAATTCTTTCTGTCCATCCTCAGTATGTTAGGGACAGCAGTAAATAAACACTTTGCCCAACCGAAAATGTTGGCTTTTATAAAAGAACAAGACTATTTACAGAAGCATTTTGTGGTGTGTGTGCTACAGAAATCAGGAAACCGCTTTAAAATTAGACAGGTACTAGTTAAATCAGCTCTGGTATCTTGCTAGCCTATCAAGTACAATATGCATCTTTTTTTTTTTTAAGCCAGGCCGAATGGTCCAAGTGAGAAGCTTAGAAGAGGCACTGCTGACTCTGAGTGGAGTTGCACCTGGAGCCCTTTGACCTTAGTTCCATGATCCGGTAGCAACAACTTGGCCTATTTCAGAATCACCAGAGATACTGGTGCTATCACTGAGAGTGGACCCACCCCACCCCCCTCAAGGCCGCCTGAGGCAAAAGTTGTATATGCATAGCCTGTTTGGGGAGTGGGTCCATTAAAAAGTAAAATCAGTTGAATAAGATATGGGCGTGGGGGGGAGGAGAGATTAAGTAGGCATTTGAAGTATTTAAAATCGGCCACTCTAAATTAGTAGAGAGGTTTTGACTAGAGGTGCAGCTTTGTTGGCTTCTTGAAAGGTAATTTGTGCTTTGTTGTTCCTGGTTGTACCAAGTGCCCATGGAGCCTGCCTAGTGGCTGCTGCCTGTGGCCACTTCCGTGATGACAACCCTACGGCCTAGACTGACCCTCTCGGTGTGCTGCACTCTCTTCTGTCCCAGCCAAAGTCTGGGAAGACCAAGTGTCCACATGGGGGTGTGGGAGGTTATGCCAGAGAGCAGCCTCCAGGTGAGACTGGGAGACACCAGGGGCTCCCCTGCTTCTGTTCTCCAGGATGCCTCTTCTGAAGCCGGGCGACTCGCATTGTCACCCAGCAGCAGCCCGGCCAGATACGGGGCTGGAAGTTCCCAGTGCACTAACAAAGCGCCAGATTTAAAAACTGCCTAGGGTAAACAGTGCCCATGTGCTATTTTTATTTATTTTTTCTTTGGCCTCCTCCTCCTCCTCTCCCGCTGGGCCCACATTCCTTGGTCTTTGTCTCTGCCTGGTATTTTAGAAATTTTGGGAGAGGAAGGCTGTGGGTGGGGCCTGCTGGAGGCTGGGGGCAGGGAAGAGGGGTGGTCACTTGCAGGGTCAGAGGTCGCGCCTGCTCCATTCAGCCCGGGCAGCCAGATTGTCGCCATGGGATGGGGGCGTGTCCTTGCAACGGCCCTGGAAAGCCCCTGGCGCGCTTCGGAATTCCTGCCACAAGAGGCCAGCTTCTTCCCGCTGCCCAGGCCCTTAGACCCCACTACAAGAGCTCCAGTTGCTTTATTTTGGGGGATCTAGGGGGTTGGTGCCACACCTGAGGCTTCCTCCTGACTTTGCTCAGGGATCACATGCCTGGCAGGCTGTGGGATGTTGGGGATTGAACCCGGGGCAGCTGTGTGCAAAGCAAGCCTCCTGCTGCTCTACTGTCTATTCAGTCCTTTTCAACAGTGCTCTTCCTTCACTTTCTCTCACTTTTATTTTTGGGTGAGGATCACACCTATCTCCATAGTCGGAGGGGGGGATCAAACCTCGGACTCTGGAATGTGAAGTATGCACCCCAAAGCCAGTTTCCCTGGCATGTGTTTTTTTCCAGGAAAAAAAAAACCCATCACTGAGCTTCTGTTTTAGTTTGTGAGGTGTGGAGGGGTGTGTGTGTGTGTGTGTGTGTGTGTGTGCGCGCGCGCGCGCGCGGGAGTGTATGAGAGTGCGAGGGATAAGATTGGTGCTGTAGGGCTGAGCTGCACCCCTGACTCGCCCAGCTCAGCTTTGCATCTATCTGGCTGCTCCTCACAACTCCCGACCTACTTGTGCCCCCTGCTGGCAGCTCTGCCTGTAGAATTCCAGCCCGCTGTGGCAGGCACCTGGTGGTCCAGGGAGTCCCGTGAAGCGGTGCCACACAGGGATGCCTGCCATAGTCCCTTTGAAGGGGGGCATCTGAGACGGTGGGGGACCTTGGGCTCTAAGGCTTGGTTTTGGGTACCCAGTTGCTACCTGCTGTCAACTGCATCTTCAGAAACCTTGGCAAAACCTCCCTGTTACAGGAAATCACATCATCCAAGGGCCTGGCATTGAGCCAGCCTACAACTCCGGAAAATGTCGTCATGGTGATGTAGATGACACCTGGAGCCTGGTGGCCTGGCTTTGCACAGTCCTTCAGTCCTTTAGGGATTGTGTCATTGTGACTTGGGGGTCCCCAGAAGTAGGGTTTCAGAACTATCACAGTAGATGGGACCCCGCTGTGTGTGACAGCATTGTCTGTTCCCTGCCCCACACTTCAGGTCTCATCCACTCAAGCCTGTGCAGACTCAGGGTGTTGACTACAGGCTGCTCCATTTGCTTGACCTCTGATGTCCATCAGACGCAGCTGAAAGAAAGCAGGGGAATGGGACACCATCCTGCCCAGCTGAGCGACACCTTCTGTCCTGGGCAAGGCGGGGGAGGCCATTCAGACAGGCGGGTCAGATGGACAAGGGACTCGCCACATGTCCCATTCGCCCTTAAAAGGAGCCTTCTGATGTCGTGCTTCACACCATAGGCAGGGACCCTTTATATTCCCATGACAAATGGGGAAAGCAAAGGGAAGGAATGTTCTGGAGAGGTTGAAGTGGGTGGGAGAATTACTTTAGGACTAGCTCATAAAACTGCCCCAGAGCCCCCAATTTACCCAACCTTGCCTCTTTTTGTTAGCATTTAAGGTTAGCTCAAGAATGTTGTTTGTTGTTTTCCTTTGTTGGGTGGGGGGAGATGGGGGTGTGAGGCCACACCTGGCGGTGCTATTTTGGTGGGGGGCGGGATAGGATACATCACGGGAGCACTTCTGCCTCCCTGCCTCCCTTGTGCACGAAGTATGAGCTCAGCTTTTGAGCTCCCTCTCCAGTCCTGCCTGAGAATTTGAGACCCCAGGTTGGAATGATATACAGAGTATCTCTAAACAGGGAGTCTGCTTTTAGAAATGATTGACTATGAAGAAGGCAAATTGCCTCCCTTGATTTCAACACTCACCGTTGTTGACAAAGTTAGCAGCCCTGGACAAAAATTGGTAATGAAATTAGAGACCTCATCACATTTCTCTTAAGTAGGTTACTTTTGTGAAAGGGGCCTTGTCCGACAGAAGCTTTCTTCCTTTTCCTGCTATACCCTTCAGAGCCCTTGGCCGCCAGAGGTCACTGACTGCAGTGCTCGGGTGCTTGGGGGCCTGTGCCGTGTGGGTGAGACCTAAGTCCCTCAGGCATGCATTCCACTCCAGCCCCTCCTGCTCTCCAGGGCCCTAGAAGCATCTTCAGAGCAAGAGCAGGACATCCCGCATCTAAATCAGAACCTAAACGCCCAGTCTCTATTTTTTTTTTAATGTAGGAGGTACTGCTATTTATTCAGCCACTGATTAGGCTGATTGAATTAAAAGCCCAGTCCCTAGATCCAAAAGTTCCCAGAAAACTGGAAAGATCATCCCGCAGATAGGGTGTAGGCCTCGCATGTAGCCAACCCAGGTTCAAATCCGCAACACCTTGTGAGGTGTAATTTCTAATGGCAGAATTAGGAAGAACCCTTGAGAGCCACTGGGTGTGACCCAGAATTTAAAATGCAACAAAATGGGGGGGGGGGGAGTTCCCAGAAAGCAGCGTCTAGCCCGAGGTGGGTGGGTTGCCCACATCTCCGGCTTCTCCGGATGCCCAGGGATGCAGGCTCCTTTGTCTGTGCCACTTGGGAAGTTGCTGGGGTTCTGGCCGGGTGATGTAGCTGCATTTCACCTTATTTGCCCTGTGCCCCTTCTATCCCTGCCACCCAGCCTGTCCTCAAGCTGTGCTTAGACAGCGGCCACATCTTCCTCTTAGGGCTCTGGCCTGCGGGGCCCCATGTGGGATGAGTATCTCTCTGCCGGCCACCAGCCACCACCTGCAGCTCAGCCTCCTCCCCCGTGCCGGGGACAGCCTCCTGGCTCCAGCTCCCGGCCTCACACCCAGGGAGAGGCAGCTGTGAGCCCCACTTTTGACAGCCGTCCAGCAGACCTCTTACACAGACTTTGGTGCAAAGGGGCCCCTGCTCTGCGGAGGGAGACAATGGGCTTGGCCCATTTTCCGTGCCAAGGAGCCCTGGCTCCTGAAACCTCCACAGTTATCAGCGGACTGACTCGTGCCAACCCTTCTTCCTGCCTTTCTGCCAGGGGGTGGGCCCCAGGGAGATGGAGAGTCACATAAAGCACCTCTGTCAGCCCAGCTGCTTTCCAGGCTCTGCTCCTCGAAGCCACTTGGCAGGAAGAAGAAAGACAAGAAGCTGGCTGACCTTACAGCGTAGTGGCGAGGGGGGGGGGGGTGGCTTTCGGGAACTTGCTGGGTCACAGGGAGAACCAGGCTACTGATCTCCTTGCTGGGAGCGGTGGCCAGCACACCAGGAGACGGGTGGGGTTCGCTTCTGATTCCTAAGGCTAATAACCCCCAGTTCTGTACCCTGGAGGCCATTGACCTGCGGAGGTGGTGGGGGAACAGGGATTGGACCCAGGTCAGCTGTGTGCAAGTCAAGTGCTTTATTTATTTTTATATTGCACCCGGTGATGCACAGGCTCATGCATCCAGGAATTACTCCTGGTGGTGCTCAGGGGACCACATGGGATGCTGGGAATCGAACCCGGTTGGGCCGCATGCAAGACAAATGCCCTACCCGCTGTGCTATCGCTCCAACCCCAAGTCAAGTGCTTTAACTCCCAATCTCTCTCCTACCCCAAACCGGGAGTCCTCATGCCAGCGATCTTTGTGGGGCTGGGCGTGTCTCATTCTGCCTCCAAATGCAGCTGGACTGGGGAGTGGGGGGGTGGTTGGGTGTGTGGGTGAAGACACCCATTCTGGCCCTCTACCCCCACCCCCAGTCTCATGCCTGTCCTCTCTCTGTTCCCCAGGTGCTGCACCTATACTGTGACACTTGCTCCGTGCCTATCTGTCGTGAGTGTACCATGGGTCGCCACGGAGGCCACAGTTTCATCTACCTCCAGGAGGCGCTGCAGGACTCCCGGGCTCTCACCATCCAGCTGCTGGCTGACGCCCAACAGGGACGCCAGGCACTCCAGGTCAGTCTTCCCAACGATATTTCAATGTTTTGGCACTAACTTTGGCCACCCTCTCCTCCCTTGCCCCTTTTATTTTTTTCTTTTTGGATCATACCAGTGATGCTCAGGGGTTACTGAAACTCTGCATTCAGGAATCACTCCTGGTGGTGGTCAGGAGACCATATGGGATGCCGGGGATCGGAACCCAGATTGGCAACATGCAAAGCAAACGCCCTTACCCGCTGGACTATCTCTCCAGCACCCTTGCCACCGCTTTTGAGTTCTTGGGCCAACTTCAAGTACATAAGGACCATGGGAAAAGGGACCTTGCCAACAAGCACATGGCTCTCTGTACTCTGGGAGGGCCATGGGATTTGCCAGAGCTGCTGGTGCTTGGAAACTCCTGTGACCCCTGTTCTCCCTGCCAGAGGCTCCACTGGCTTCATATGGATTTAAGAGGATTTTCCTGAAGGTGTGGGAAGCTGGAGCTTTTTTTAGACGGAGGGAAATCAAAGATGATTTTCATTGTAGATGGTTTCCTGGGTTGCACCCTGGTTTCTGTGGCATTCCCGTTCCTTTGGGGGCTAGAGATGGACCGGGTAACCAGGGCAGAGGAGCGCTGTCTCTCGTTACCGCATTATATACTACTGTCTTATATATAATTTTCTGATTTTTTTTCTCTTCCAGTTTTTTCCCTTTCCGGTCCTTTTTTTTTTTGGGGGGGTGTTTTTGGGGTTACACCCGGTGATACTCAGTTACTCCTGATCTGCACACAGGGGTCAACCCAGGTTGGCCACATATAAAGCAAACATCCTGCCTACTGTATGAGGTCTCTAGACCCTGCTTTGCTTTGGGCCACACTCAGCAATATGCAGGGCTTCACCCTGAGGATGTTTGGGGTAGCCAGATGAAGTGCTGGGGATTGAACTATGGTTGACCGAGCAAGGCAAACACCTTATCTACTGTTCTGGACCCTGAATTAGTTTCGTGCTTTCTTGCCTGCTCAGATAACAGGTTTTAGGAAAACTAAATTTAAACAGTTTTCTTCTTTAGCAGGATACGCACGGGCTACCTAGAAAGATGGCTGATTCTCAAGCAGAAGCTAATTACAAGTTGTTGTTTATATATTCTAGAGCATTTAAATGTGAAGTAGAAGGTCTTTTTGGTTTGGGTTCTGAGGCCACACCTTCCTGTGCTCAGGGCTTACTCCTGATTCTGTGCTCAGGAGTCACTCCTACAGAACTCCTGGATAACAAGTGCCTTATCCTTTCTACTGTCTCTCGGCCCCTTTGGGAGAAAATTTCCATTTTTGAAAAGGATCGATCCTGTGCTCTAAAGATTGAGGGTTTGATCAGCAGCATGGTTTATATTTCCAATAAGTTACTTAACCTCTGTCATGTTTCTGTGCATGGTATTGAATTACTTCAAGTCAGATGATGTATTCAGGTCATAAAATCAGAAGTGAGAGTGTGAGTGTATTTCTGGAAAGACTTATTTCTGTCGTGTCTCCCTCTGCCCAGGCACCTTGCTTTCTTTTGCTCGAGAGAGTCTTTTGGTAAATCTCAGTAGTCCCAATTAGCACAGAGATTGGTTTTGTTGCTGTTCCATTTCAGTGACCCATGTCACATTTCAGTGACCCTTGTCCCATGGATGGACTGACTCTGTCTTCCATTTAATGTAGGACCTGTCTTTCGTATTCACCTGCCGTGTCTCTTGGGCACTATGAGTTCTGGTTGGAGAGCCCTTAGTTGTTTTGAAGCAAGTCAAGAATTTTTTGCTCATGCTGTTCATGGCAACAGCCCTTTTGGAGAGAACGATAAATTGCCATGAAGTAGCATAGGGTTAAAGGATCAGAGGCATGACTTATCAAAACGATGAAATAGCAGGGAAGTGGAGATTTGAGCATTTTGTGGAGAGAAGAGAGAAAACTGTTACTTTCGGAGGCAAGTAGTCATTACTAGCTCAGTTTGCTGTGTTGAGTTGAAGAGCTCCTAGCCATTAGATTTAGATGTTACTTGATACTACAGTAATGATCTTCTGTTAGTATTGGATCATGGAGACTTTTGGAATGGGGGATCCAAATGACACATAGGTAATTAATTGGAGGGGTGGAGGGAAGGTTCATTTGCTGACCTGAGCAATACTAGGCAAACCCGCTGAATATCAGTATAGTTGCAGGTTATTCACTAGAAAATGTGGTGTCCATCATCCCCACCAAGGACAAAGTTAAAGGTGGTGATTTAAGGCAGGCACTGGCCTTGTATGTGACTGGCCTGGGTTTGATGTAGGGGAGGGGGGATGGATCCGCCCCAGTATGGTCTCTTGAGCACATCTGGGATGTGTCCCCAAATCCAACCAAAAGAAAATCTGCGTGTGCAGCGTTGTTTCAATGTCTGCCTTCCTGGGGTTTTTTTGAGGAGTCACTTGTGTTGGGGAGTATCTGCGCCTCATGTAGGCAGGGTTGCACTTCATACCCTTTGGACCATTTATGTCTGGTGTGTGATCTGGAGATTGGGATGTGAATAAAGTTTTTGCTTCTGCCTCAGAGTTACCAACTCCTAGAAAACTATAGATGTCTTCCCTCTGTTAAAGGAGACAGTTGGAGAGTGGGAGTGATAATAACAGCTAGTAGGGCATTTGCCTTGCACACAGCTAACCTGGGTTCGACCCCTGGCATCCCAGATGATTCCCTGAGCATCACCCAATGTGGCCCAAAAACCAAAAAAGAGAGAGGTGATTGATTCTCATCTGTACCCTGGGTGTTGGGAGAAAAAGCACAATGCCTTGCTTGAATTGAGGGACAGTACAGAGAAATAAGCCTGTGCCCAAGTCCCAGAGATGAGTGTGACCCAGCACTATATAGCAGGAACTGTAGTCACAAAACTGAGATCAATAAAGTGGAGTTTGATTCTATTTGCATGTAATATAACATTCTTAGAGTAGTAGTATGGTTGCAGGGTGGGGATATGAAGAATGACTACTTCACGGGCGTGGAATTTCCTTTTCCAGTGATGAATTTGTTCTGGTGGTGGATGGCAGCACATGATGAATGTGTGAAACCTACCAAGGGGGCAGGTTTTCTATTCCGATGTGCTTTTTTTTTTTTTTTCAAATCATGGTTTAAATACAACAAGGGGCCTCCAGTGATAGTACAGCTGGTAGGGCGTTTTTGCCTTGCATGTGGCCGACCCAGGTTCGATTTCTAGCATCCCATATGGTTCCGTGAGCACCACCAAGAGTAATTCCTGAGTTGAAAGCCAGGAGTAACCTCTGTGCATCGCCGAGTGTGACCCAAAGAGCCGCCCCCCCAAAAAAAAAGAGGGTTGGAGCACATGTTTTGAGTTCGGGAGACCCAGGTTCAATCTATGGTGCTACCTGTATCTCCTCTTCATTGTGTTCTTCCCCCCCATCCCCCACAGCACCACCCAGAGTCACTCCTGAAACTGCGCTTCCCCCCCCCAAACAACAACAATAATAACAGAAAACCTTATATGAAGATATTATAGTGGGTAAGGTGCTGTGTTTGATCCCTGGTATCCCATATGGTCCCCTGAGCTCTGCCAGGGGACCATATGGGATACCGAGCCAGGAGAGACCCTTGAGCATTGCCAAGCATGACCCCCAAACAAAACCAAAACAGAAAAGAGGAAAGCAACCAGGGAGCCTGTGCCCCTCCCAGGGGCCAAGGGGAAAGGTGGCCACTCTCTGTGCTTTCCTTTCCACCCACGCTGTTTTCCCCAGCAGGTCCTTCCAAGATGTTGAAGGAGGCCACACTTTGTAGCTGGGCTCCCCCAACCCCCAGGGTGGGCCTGTCTGGTCTGGTCTGCTCAGAGTGGTCCCATTTTTATTGGGATGTTAGGTGTGTCGCATACTTGGGCTTGGCAGGTGACTTTTCACCGTGAACTGCACCCTGGGTGCCCGCCAACACTTTGGAATCCCTGATTTAGTAACTTGGTATCTTGGAGAAATCCTGGTGGCTTTTTCAAGAAGGCGTCATGTAATATTAATAGCAACACCAAGCCTTCTGTCTGCATGAATTTTGTATGAACAGTAATATGTTCGATTAAACCAGCTGATCAGCTTGGGTGGGACGGCCAACCTGAGGGGTGGTGGGGGGCACAGAGGGTACCCCCAGCTGGTAGGAGAGGAGGTTCGGGAGTGTCCCTGGCCTGGGAAAGGGGGCTCAGAGAGTGTGTAGGAAGTTGTCACCGTGTGCCTGGAGTCAAGACTCATTCCTGGTCCTGGCCGTGACCCAGCCGCACTGTTTCGCATTGGAAGGTTACTGGAAGTGGCATCTCTCGCTTGGGTATGTGCCAGCAGCTCAGCTCTTGAAAGAGAACCAGTGGCCGAACTGTCTCTCTTCCACCCTGAGAGCATCAAGCACGCCCCTTGTGTTTCCTTTTTTGCAGCTAAGCATCGAGCAGGCCCAGACGGTCGCGGAGCAGGTGGAGATGAAGGCCAAGGTGGTCCAGTCGGAGGTGAAAGCGGTGACGGCGCGTCACAAGAAAGCCCTGGAGGAGCGCGAGTGTGAGCTGCTGTGGAAGGTGAGAGGGTGACTTCCCCCCGCCTGTCCCCCAACAGCAGCAGCCCCCCACTGCCACCATATGGGGCACTCATGTTAACTCCCAGGGTCCAGATGCACATGCCCAAGCCATTGACTTGTAGGAGATGCAGGGCGTGGCGGTGGGCAGGGTCCTTGAGAGTCAGCAGGTGCTGTCCACACAGGAGATCCAGAAGCCTTTTCAGGTAGGGCAGTGGTGGGAGGTGGCTGGAGGGAGTCTCTAGTTTTGCGCTCCAGAAAGGCTGATGGCTGAGGAGGAAGTGCCTAAGGTGTGCTGCAAAGCCACATTGGATTTCCCACTGCGGTGGGTGAACTAGCTGCTTTCTGCCACTTCAGATCCAACCCAGGGCTCCCCCGTGCAGAGCACAACCACCCGCTCTGAGCCGGCCCCCTGACCCAGCAAGTCCACATTGACTGTGCGTAAGTCCTGGCAGTGCTCAGGAAGGCCAGCAGTCCTGGAGATTTGACACTAGAGCTCTGTGCATGCCTTCCAGATCTCTCAGCTGGCTACCTGGCCCTACTTCTGATCTTTTAAATAAGCCCATGGCCCAGTTGCCTTTAACTGTTTTAGGGATTTGATTTGGGGACCACACCCAGCAGTGCTTAAGGGCTTACTCTAGCAGCTCCATGTTCAGGGCAAGTGCCTTTTTGGGGAGGAGAGGCGGTAACCTGGCAGTGCTCTGGAGGAACTCCTGGCTTTGATGAAACCCAGGTTTGCTGCAGCACAGCAAACGCTGTACTATCTCCAGCCTCACAGTTGCCTTTTGATAATAATTCATTGCGTATTTTATTCTGGTACCTCTGCAGGCCTGTCGTGGTTGTCAGACGCTTGGGTGTCCTGTGCTTTGCCAGTCTGGTGCCACCCACAAATGTGAATTATATCCGAAAGAGGGTCCAGTTGCAACCCGAGCTGTGTGCTAAACTCTGCCATGGACTGGCTCTCCTGGCTACAGGATGAAAAGGCCTTTGTGTGTGTGGGGGGGGGGGGGGGGGCTGCAGAACTGCCCCTCCTGCCTGTAAGCCGCTCACACCCTCACTGAAAGGGTGGAGAGCAAGTTCTTATCTAGGGGGAGCCAATTTGGAAGAGTCAATCTCTCTCTCACAGTTTTCAACTTGCTTAAAAATCTCCCTTTCAGATAACTCCCAAAATAAACTTGCTCATTCTGGACACCCCTAGGTTCCCATTAGTTTGCTCTGGCACCTTGCCCAGAATCTTGTGGGTGCTACTGAGTTTCTACAGATAGCTTCCTGGTTTTGCCTCTTCATGATAAAATAATTTGTTTGTTTGCCTCCCTGATTGATCACCAAGGTACTTGGGTGCCCTGTGATGTGGCTCTGTGTCTGAGTGGCCTCCTCTTTTTTTTTTTTTAAGCTTTTTGGGTCACACCCGGCAATGTACAGGGGTTACTCCTGGCTCTCATGCACTCAGGAATTACCCCTGGCGGTGCTCAGGGGACCATATGGGATGCTGGGAATCGAACCCGGGTCAGCCTCGTGCAAGGCAAACACCCTATGCACTGTGCTATCGCTCCAGCCCCAGCCTCTTGTTTCTTGAAGCTAAGGAAGCAGCAGGCCTGGCACATGGTGGAGGCCTCAGTGGGTTAGGTAAAGGGTTGAAGGAGAAAGCCCGTCCTGGGCTGCTCTGAGCCAACAGGGTGCCCAGCCAGAGGAACAGATGAGAAAGCACTGTGTCAGATATGAGAGCAGGGAGAGGCGTGGAGAGACCCACAAAAGCCAGGCCTCCTACCGGGGTTTGCAGTGGATATAGCGTAGCTGTCCTTCACACCAGAGCTCTCGGAAATGCCTCAGTCCTTTCTAAGAAACAGCGGAGAATATCTGTGTGACTGACTTGCTCTCTTAATGGGGGAAATCAGGGAGAGTTCACAGGACTTTTTATGTATAATTTGCATGCAGGGTGTCTTGGTTCAATCCTACCTCTGAAGTTGCTGGTCCCCCAAAGGTGGCTTATGCGAGGCAGGAAGGAGAGAAATGGTCACTTTCTCCTGATCCTGCCACCCCACGACCGGCGGGGAAGTCTAGAACTGATTAAGTCTTCAATGAGCCAGTGTGAAACGCCAATATATGAGAGGTTAGAGTTCCCTTGGGAGAGGCTGTTTTATTTGCATTTAAAATCGAACCAATACAGTGCAACATCAAGTCCCAAGGACATGCCAGTGATTTGATAGGTTAGACATGGAGTCCAGGACATTGTCACTCTGATACAGCAGGAAGTACCTTCCTGCCAGGAGAAAGCTCTGAGCACAGCTGGTTGTGGCCCCAAAACAAAAAGTTACATATATGTAAACTTGTGTGTGTGTGTACACATATGTACACACTTGGCACACCCATCAGTGCTCAGAGCTTATTCCTGGATCTGTATTATGGCCCCATGTGATCTCCTAGGCCCATCCAACATGCTAAGAATTGGGCATGGGAGTGTGTTGCCCAATCGAACCCTACCCCTGGCCTCCACCTTCCCCATGGCTCTCACCCCCACCACCGCTCAGTACGTATGTATGTTGTTTGTTCGGGGGCCACATCCAGCGGTGTTGGGCATGAAACCCAGCACTCCCCCTTGCCAAAAAATGCCTACACACCAGCCCTTTTGGGCTTTGCCCCTGACCAGAATTTACAGGCAAGTTGTAGGAATAATAAAAGACTTTGGCCTCATTTTCATTGTTGTCTGTACATCTGTGTGTGATTGGAGAGTAATCAGACATGTGGGGCTGTGATGCCCCTTGATCCTCCAATGTTCTTGCCTCTGAGCAAGGGTGTCTTCGCTCACATAACCAGCAGGTCCTGTGGTCAGTGAGGGCCCAGGAGGGTGCGGTGCTACTAGGGATTTTGTCCTGGGAATTAACCTGGGCCTCAGAGCTACTCCTCGGCCGTGCTTAGACAGGGGACCATGCAGCACCAGGGGTTGTACCGGGGTCTGCCACATGTATATCACAGACCTCGAACCCTTACCTCTCTGCTTCCTACCTAGAGTACTTTTTGGGGGGGGGGGAGGACTGGGCAGGGGCCATACCCTGCAGTGCTCAGGGCTTGCTCTTGACTCTGAGATAAGGAAGGCACGGTGTGGGGTGCTGTATGGGATGCTGAGAACTGAACCTCTGGGTCAGCTGTGTACAAGGCAAGCACACTCTACCTGCTGTACGATCACTCTGGCCCCTCCACAAATTCTCTTCTTCCAGTCTAGCATCCAGTCCAGGCTCAGTCGTTGTATTTACAGTTATTTGTGGTTTGTGGGTATTATTATGGTCATTGGCGGGCTCAATGGAACAAGGTACCCCTCATCAGGGTTCCAGTCTGTGTCTCTTGATCTCTCAGCTGTCCTGGAGCAGTTCCTTCCACCTCCTTCCTCATGCAGTTCTTTGGTTTGGTTAGTTGGGGTTTTTTGGGGGGCCCAATCTTTGGTGGCTCTCAGTGACTTCTCCCAAGTCAGTGCCAGGTGTCCTTGTCGTGTACCCCACAGACAGATGATCTTCAGCCCTGTGCGCTGTGTCCTGGCCCCTGGGTGTTGTTTTTTTTTGAAAGATGCGGTGATGAGTTGTGTTTGGTGTCCTCTGCTCCCCTTGTCTGGGGTTTCCCTCCTGTTACCCTGTGGATAGTCGGTGTCATTCTCTTGAGCTGGGTCCCAAGCCGCTGTCCTTTTTTCTCCTTTCAGGTTGAGAAGATCCGCCAGGTGAAAGCCAAATCCCTGTACCTTCAGGTGGAGAAACTACGTCAGAACCTCAACAAGCTGGAGAGCACCATCAGCGCGGTGCAGCAGGTGCTGGAGGAGGGCCGGGCCCTGGACGTGCTGCTGGCCCGGGACCGCATGCTGGCTCAGGTGCAAGAGCTGAAGAGCGTGCGCAGCTTTCTGCAGCCCCAGGAGGACGACCGGGTCATGTTCACGCCCCCAGACCAGGCCCTCTACCTGGCCATCAAGTCCTTCGGCTTCGTCAGCAGCGGAGCCTTCGCGCCCCTCACCAAGGCCACGGGCGAGGGCCTGAAGCGGGCCCTGCAAGGCAAGGTGGCCTCCTTCACGGTCATCGGCTACGACCACGACGGGGAGCCCCGGCTGTCTGGTGGCGACCTGATGTCTGCCGTGGTCCTGGGCCCCGACGGCAACCTGTTCGGGGCAGAGGTGAGCGACCAGCAGAACGGCACCTACCTGGTGAGCTACCGGCCACAGCTGGAGGGCGAGCACCTGGTGTCGGTCACCCTGTGCAACCAGCACATCGAGAACAGCCCCTTCAAGGTGCTGGTCAAGTCGGGCCGCAGTTATGTGGGCATCGGGCTCCCGGGCCTGAGCTTCGCCAGCGAGGGCGACACCGATGGGAAGCTATGCCGCCCTTGGGGCGTGAGCGTGGACAAGGAGGGCTACATCGTCGTGGCCGACCGCAGCAACAACCGCATCCAGGTCTTCAAGCCCTGTGGCGCCTTCCACCACAAGTTCGGCACCCTGGGCTCCCGGCCGGGCCAGTTCGACCGGCCCGCCGGCGTGGCCTGCGACGCCTCCCGCCGCATCGTAGTGGCGGACAAGGACAATCATCGCATCCAGATCTTCACCTTCGAGGGCCAGTTTCTCCTCAAGTTCGGGGAGAAGGGCACCAAGAACGGGCAGTTCAACTACCCTTGGGATGTCGCCGTGAATTCCGAAGGCAAGATCCTCGTCTCCGACACACGCAACCACCGCATCCAGCTGTTTGGTCCCGACGGAGTCTTCCTCAACAAGTACGGCTTCGAGGGGGCGCTCTGGAAGCACTTTGACTCCCCCCGGGGCGTGACCTTCAACCACGAGGGCCACCTGGTGGTCACCGACTTCAACAACCACCGGCTGCTGGTCATCCACCCCGACTGCCAGTCGGCACGCTTCCTGGGCTCCGAGGGCACCGGCAATGGTCAGTTCCTGCGACCCCAGGGTGTGGCCGTGGACCAGGAGGGGCGCATCATTGTGGCCGATTCCCGGAACCACCGGGTGCAGATGTTTGAGTCCAATGGCAGCTTCCTGTGCAAGTTCGGGGCTCAAGGCAGTGGCTTTGGCCAGATGGACCGTCCTTCCGGCATCGCCATCACCCCTGACGGAATGATCGTCGTGGTGGACTTTGGCAACAATCGAATCCTTGTCTTCTAATCACATTTTCTGGGCTTCTGTGTTTTGGGGGGGAGGGAGGATATGCGTCCCTCTCTTTTCTCTCCCTCTCTCCCCTCTCTCCCTCCTCCTCCTCCTCCTCCTAAATTTCAAAGAAGAAACCGTCTCAGGGAAGTTTCTTTTTTTCTTTTATTTTAAAAGAAAACAAGAAAAGTACAACATTGCTTAAGTCCTACCTCATCTCTATTTTTTACAGATGAATGTACTTATCTTTTCTGCAGGGATATTGAGCCTGTGAAGTGATAATTTCTATCTACCTCATAAACCTTTGCATTTTCTTCTCCAGCAAGCCCTCTCCCACCCCCACCCCCCACCCCCTTCCTCACTGGAGTCTTTTTCCCTCCTCACCTGTGTGGGGCGTGATATGCACAAGCCTCTTGCGAGGTAGCTTTGGAGGGGGATGAATGAGTGTGAGGGGGTGTATGTATTCTGTAGAGTGAGCCAAGGAAACACGAAACTACTAAATTTACTAATATATATATATATAAAACACACACCAAAACAAAACCCCCCACAACAAAATATGGAAAGATAGCATTTTTAAGTGCTTCATTATAGTGTGCTGTGTTTTTGAGAATATTGTGTGTCTGGGGTTGGACTGTGTCGTGTGAACTTTTGGAGAAAAATTTAGTGTAAAATGCTGCAACAGAGATTTTTCTGTGTTCTCCTTTTATACCTTAGTGCTTATCATTCATTTCCTGTTCAGCATCTTTTCTTAGGCATAGATGAAGAGGCTGTGGCTTGCTAGCCAAGAAGAGCAGACCATTCATTCTTACTGTGTAGGGTGTTGTTGAGGATTTTGTTGTTGCTTTTAAGGGAGGAGCACGCATTCCTGCGTGTGTGCGTTTGTGTGTGTGTGTGTGTGTGTCCCTGTCTGTGTGTATGCGCGTGCTGAAAGTGAAGCACCACTTTCCAAAGAACCTTTCCTAAATGTTTTAAGGGAAGGGAGAGAATGAAAAAAACTGTGTGTGTGCGCACGCGCGTGCTTGTGCGTGCGTGCCATCTTGTTCGAAAAATGATGTACCACCTCCCAAAAGAATATTTTCTTTCCATACTTTGGTGTCTTCCCTTCCCCACCATAGCTGTAGTCCAGGATTTTTTTTTTTTTTTTTTAATACTCTCAGAAGTTAAATAACCTTAGTTGGCTGTTGGTTTTAGGAGTGCAGCGGAAGGAGGAAGATGAACCTCATTCTCGCAATGTTTTCAGACTTGGATTGGCGTGTGGCACGCGCAGTCCGTGGAGAGCTCCAGAAGGAAGCAGGGCAGCCCCAGATCAGTGCTCCCACTCTAGGCGGAACGTGTTTCTGGGACCTTAGTTTTCCTAAGGAGAGTTAGGCAAAGGAATGGACTCTTTTGTTGAAGCACAATATTCTCCTGCTTTGGACATTCAAGGAGGCAGACAATTTGAAAAGTCAGATGAGTGGGAACTGCTCATCTCCCTCCCCCCCACCCACCCTGGTCAACTCCCGAGCCAGGCTGCCGGGGAGGCACCTCATGACTAACGGGAATCTTCTCCCCCAAGGCCTTTGAATGTATCTGATCTGCTAGCCGATTGCCCCAGCCGGACACCTCGGACACCAGATCTTTTGTCAGACTTCTTGTCTCGGTCGGTTGGTACCAAAGAGTGAGCACATGGGCCACGGCCCCAGGACCCTGGGCTTGTCACTTTACAGGCTCCCGGTGTGTCGGGAGCTGCCTTGCCCCCGGGAATGGCGTTTACCTTGTGCTGGAATAAGAAACAGTGGCGAAAGGGAGGCCGCTTGATTAGGCAGAAGAAGAGAACTTTCTCTTACAACATGTTTCAGTTGAACACAGCAAACTCACACATGAATCAAGTTGTTTCTCACCTCAAAAAAGAAAAAGAAAAATCATAATTTCATTATTATGAGACACAGTATTCCATCATAGTTGTGGATATTTATCACTTTAAGGTAGCCAGTGTCTGCCCGTTGCTTTAGTTTTAGGTTTCCGGGTAACCAAAATTAAGGGGGGAGAGAACAGACCGTCCTCTTGGAACAGATAATGCGTGCAGTCAAGGGTCCGTCAGACTGCTGCATCTCAGCTGCTGTGTGATGGGGTGAAGAGGAGTTTGGAACTTTGTGTTTGTGTGTATGTGTAAAAATGCGTTTTCTTTCACGGATAAAGAGTTTAGTGGTCCTTCCCAATTCCTATTCTGTTGCCTTTTACCTTCCCATTTCTTGAAACACCAAAGACAACGGCTTTTAAATGCTTAAGTATTTTTATTGAGAATAAGTTTCCTTATCAAGGGAGCTTTCCTCAAAAGATCTTAAAAAAATGTTCTCAGAAACCTTGGTCACTCTTGTGTCAGGGTAAGTTATGATAGTAGCCACTACTGGAATCAGACCCTCCCCATTTTCGACCTCTGTCCTTTCCAATTTCTCCTGCAAGGAATTGTCTCAGAGCCTGAAAGAGAAGTGTTGGTGGTGAAGAAATAAGTAGAACTAAAAATAGCTGGGTTATAAAGTCAGAGGGATTTTTTTGTTTGTTTGCTTGCTTTATTTTTTGTTTTGGCTGAAATGATCAAGTCCTGACAGACCAATTTGCAGGCTTTAAGCTGGTCCAGGCTGACCTCGAGGTGACTGCGTGGGTAGGGATCCCTCAGTTGGTTGGACCTCTCCTTACCTTTTACCTTTCCACACTCACAATTGTGGATGACTGCCAGGGGAGAAACGCATCACACTCGGGAAGCTTTTGTTTTTAAAACATTGGTTGCCAGTGGCTGCCATAATGGATCGACTCCCAAGACAAACAGATGAGTGCTAAGCACTGTGGGGTCTTGCTTTTGTACAATGTGGAATGCTCCGGATGAAAACGTGATGGGTGGAGACCAACTGTCGTCAGGCACCCTGGCATTTTTCAGTTTAGGTCCTCTGTCCATCATGAAATATATTCGTGGTGCCGGGAGGGGGTGTCACCTCTCTCACCTGATGCAAGGATAAGGTCCTGGATGCTGGGAGAAAGTAGAATAAAATATTCCCAAATTAGTAAATGTGATGTTGAGAAGAGTTCCCTTTGTGTGGTATCTGATCAGGCCGAGGTCTGGAGTCGGTGTTCTGTTGGAGGACGTCTGCCAGTTGGATTTGGAGGAATTGATTGGGTATTCAGATGATGGCGAAAGGAAATCTGAAATAGACCACAATTAAGAACCATTTTTGGCTGACACTGACTTAACATTTCAAAAGTGTTAACGGGGGTGGGGGGATTATTGTTGTTGCTGTTTTTGGGTTTTTGTTTCTTTTCCTTCCCCCTAAATTACTCCTGAATGTGGTCCCGAGCAAAAATGCCCTCTCAGAAGAGAAGCTGTGCACTGATGTGTGGCTGGGAGCCCCTAGCCAGGCAGTTACACCCCAAATGCACTAACTCTTGAATTGATGGATGCCCTTTTAAAAGTCTAACTTACGGATGAAACAGATAGAAGGGATCCGTAAGCAAACATGTGTTGGGCCAAAAAAAAAAAGTTGCCAGATTAAAGGCACTTTGTGGTGGAGATAGAAAAGAGAATAGCTTGAGACTGGCTGTCTCTTTCGTTCCTGTTAAGCCAAAGCTTAATCATTTGAGGAGGGAAGTCTCTAGACTCAAGCAGCAGAATCCAATTTGTCCGTGGGCGATGGGTTCGAAGACTGCTGTGTTAGCTATGCCAAAGTTCTAGACTTGTTTTTGTTGAGAAAAAAAATGAGGGTGCCAAAAAAGTATTTAGGCTATTTATTTAAAACATCACTCTTGCTGAATTTCCAAGTCTGGGGCTGTATAAATAGTCAGACTTGCCTCGTGTGTTCTAGTGTGTGAGACGCTTACAGAGCTGGAACCCGGCGGATGCTCACAGCTCTTTCTGGCTTCCTACAAGCCAGGGGCACAGGACAAGACACCCACACTCGCACCCACTCCACTGCCGGCCTTGGTTTCTTTTCTACCTCACTTAACAGCAAAAGTCACCTACCTCATTTGCACCTGATGGGTCTCTGAGAAGTATAGTGTTCACCTACTGAGGAGCGGCCAGTGGGCATTAGAAGCTACCTCCAGAAGGAAATGTTTTTCCTAGATCCAGGACTGATGTCTTCCCCCCGAGAAACTGATGCTTAACCTTGAAAAAGGAACTTTGAAACCAAATACTCCTTACTCAGGCAGAGGGAGTCATAAATGCAGGTATTTCTTGCCGGTCTGTCCTTCCCCTCCCGCTCCCCACCCAGGAATTCTGCACACCATATCACCATGTTGTTCAGTGTTAGGAAGCTACGGTTCACATGACTTAACTGCAAACAAAGGCCTTTAGGTCTCTTTCTCTCTCTCTTCAAGAGATAAAGGTTTGATCTGTATTTTGAATGTCCGCAAAAAATGTCCCTTGAGGAGTCATTCGAGGAGGGCTAGTTGGTGAAACATCAAACGATTTGAAGGGAATGAGAAGCCTTTAGACTTCTTGATTGTATTTGGAGCCCTACTGGGTCCGGGATGGTGCCACGTTGCTGTTTTTACGGAATGGGCACTGGTGAATGTGTGTGCGTGCGTTTGTGTGTTTTTTGTATTTAATTTTTTTTCCCCTACCAAAGGTAACATGTTGACGGGTTGTTCTTTCCCTTTGCTTGTTTATTAAATACTTGATAAAGTTGAAAAGCACATGACAGTGATATGCTGTATTGCCTCCAAGCCTCTCTCCATCCCGCTGTAGCTTTGGTTTTGGAGGAGGCGCCTCGGACCACTGTAACCATTTTGAGAATGGGGTTGAAAAGGTCGTGGTGAAGAAATACCTCAATGATGTCTATTTTAAAAAACTGATCTTACGGGTTCACAAGCCAGCCTGGTGGGATGTTTGCCATCATCATTTAACCAGTAATGGTTCTAAAAGTTGTGTGTATCCACATGGTCTTAGACCTCCTTTTAATGATTGTATTAACTTAACAAGCTCAGGTAGTATTTTTCTTAACGGCTCTACCTCAGAGCTCACTGACTGAATGTTAACACGCGTAGCACAGTGTCTCCGTTCCTCGAATAG